GGGAGAGGGGGAGAGAGGGGGAGAGAGGGGGAGAGAGGGGGGAAAAGACGAACCACGAACAAGTGAGAAGCTGCTTCCTAGAAAAAGAGGGGGTGGGGGAGAAGAATACTCTCGCACAGCAAAGCCAAGAAAAGGCAAAACAACAGCTGCCGCCCCCCCGACACGTTCGAAGTTGCAAAGCGATGAAGGGTAACGGTCTGACGACGGGAGGGAGAGGTTGGGGTGGAAATAACACTTACTGCTGCTGCTGCTGCAAAGAAAAAATAAACGTCGTTTTAACTGCCCCTCATCTTTACCCCTTGACACCCATCGTGCACACGCATATACATACACACATACACATACACATGCACACATACAGACAGACAGACATACTAGCTCATGCCCTCCCCCGGCTTCACCTGCACATCGTCTTTCAGGCTGTTGAGCTGTCGGAATTTGGACTCTTTGGCATAGCCCGTGGCGGCGCTGACCTGGGTTTGGGGGGGGAAAGTTTTGACCGTCAGCGGGAGACAGAATGAGTGTATGTCTGTATGTGTACGTGTATGTGTACGTGTATGTCTGCAAGAATGTATGTATGTATGTGGGGGGGGCCCATGTTTGCGGTGAGGTACGTTAGATGAAGGCGCATCGGCAGCAGATGACGTCATCAGACGGCGAAACGGAGCAACGCTAAAGGAAAGGAGAGGAAAGGAAACGGCGAAAGCAGAAGATCGACGAAAGGGAGGACCGACGAGCCAAAAAAAGGAAGAAGAGATAAGATAGTTCACCGACAGGGGCAGTCCCCTGGTATTTCCGAACACAGAAAACCTCCAAAACCGACAACAAAAAAGAACTCCCCTATTTCTGAACCTCAATCACTCACCGACACCACCAGCGCTACAGTACCCAAAATGGCTGCACCCTCCAACCATTCCGCCGAGGCAGCCGTGCCGGCGGCGGCGGCGGCGGCCGCCACGACGACACCAGTTCCGCTGCCGCCGCCACCTCCTCCTTGGGGTGCTAGCACCGCCAGCGCCAGCGACAACAGACCCGATGCCAGGAGTGCCTGTCCAAATCCAAAAGAGCGCACGATAGGTACGGCATGGACCATGCTGTACGACATTGCACGGAACATGCAAATTACAAAACGATGGGTATGTACGTGTCCTGTACGGTACCTGTACGGTGAAGTCTTCCAGCGCCTCGAGGACGAGCTCCAGAAATGTTACCTCGTGGGGCGGCGGCAGCGCGTTAATGCCGTACATCTCCCGCCGCGCCGCCGCATCCTCTGTCGTACCCGGCACGCCCGCCGCCACGGAACTGCGCAGCGCAGTCACCAGGTCTCCGGCGGTGACGGAGGCCGGCAGGTAGCCGTCATGGTCGAAAGCGTACGACACCATACGCGCCAGCGCGGCGGCACTGACACCGAAGCCGTTGCCGCCGTTGCCGTCGACTGACGGGCTCATAGCCAGTTCGTCCCGTTGCCGCCGTACTGGCGAGGCCCCGTGCGCCCGGGGCTCCAAATCCCAATCCGTATCTGAACCTAAATTTGGATCCAAATCTAGATCTGTATCTGAATCATTCGGCGGGCCAGAGAATCCTGCAGATCCTGGCGACGTCTGCAGCTGCTGCAACTGCTGCTGCTGCCGCCGTAAATTTACCGACTCATCCTTCTCCCGTACATGCCGCCCTGGCACCTCCGCTGCCGTCGCCTGCACCGCCGGCACCACCGCCATGCCATCCGAGCTCCTGTACGGCTGGCATTGTACTGCAACCGACAAAGGAAAACGTCCACGTTGACGAGGGAGCCGACAGGCAGGAGCAGCGGGGGAATGAAGAGGCGGGGGAGAAGGAGGAGGAGGTGATCCGCGGGTTGCTAAGACTAAGAGTCCCGACGCCGACGGCGACGGCGACGGTGACGGCGACGGCGACGGCGACGGCGACGCCGACGGCTCTGTTGACAACCACCCCCCGTGGTGCCCAAATGCCCTAGTAGAAGCTCCGATGATGAACGGACGGGTGGCGTTAGGTGGCGTTGGCGCCGCAGGTGTCCTAGCTACCCGACATGATAGGAGAATGGTATCGTGTCCAAGTCCGGAAGGGCCGCGCCTGGGGGTGCGGGAAGATACTGCCACTGCTGCTGCTGCAGTAGCAGTAGCAGCGGCTGGAGCGAGAGCGGCACTTGCCGTCGACGTCCTTGCCGCTGTCGCAGGAGAATAAAGAGTAGTTTTGTTGGGGGACTGGAGGACGCTGGCGCGCGGCGGCATTGGTAAGGAAGATGGATAGCCAGCGGGAATTATGATGGATGATGTTGTTGGGAGGCGGTTTAAGAGGGCGCGGCAGCAGTGGGATGGTTTTGGCTCCAAGGAGTGAAGCGCTGGGCGTGGTGAGGTGGATGGCAGTATGGTGCGTGCGCCGCGGTGCGTTGACCAGCGCAGGCAGCTGGGGATCGGCAGCCCTGGTCTTGCTGGCAGGGCTGCTTTACTTGTTGGAACGTGACAGGAAGCATGGCGCGATGAAGCTTTAAGAAAGGAGCGTTGAAATTCTATGGGCCAGCGGTCTAGCCGTGGCCCTGTGTCAATAGGTTGCTGCATTGAGCGAGGGACGGTCCGATACGGTACCACCAGGTGGTACCTGGAAAAAGATGTCTGTGTTCCGAAGCTTGCAAGTCGCTAAGATGGTCCCAAATGGTAATGGAAATCCTTGTGCATAGCAGTTCCCCTTGATGCTGACGGCAGCAAGCGGATCGCAAGTGCCGACACCAAGGAAATAGTAGGAGCACCGAGCTTCGGCGCAAAAAAAGCGAGTAAGGAAATTGTGCACTGCGGTGTAATTTCCAAGCTGGCCCTAAAATTGTGGAGATTCTCGCCTTCAAGGGTTTCCGACTCGGTTGACTTGAGCCTTCTACCGAAGCAAAGCTCAATAATTGAGTAATTATAAATAATACGTTTTCAAACAGATGCAATTGTTTTATGTCTCTTCATGAAGCACACTATGCCCTGAGTTGGACCCGATTGATGTCGCCAAGCTAACCACCTGCGCTGTACGGAAAATCCTATCGGAAAAACATGTAATGAGCTTTAGATTCTGCTTGAGAACGTATGCACCGCCAGACTCTCCTATGGGCTAGGCCTATGGTGTGCACAGTATTGAGAGCGCAAGTCCTGTGTCAGCGTGTATGCGTTCGTCCGCTCGATGTTCGCCACGTTCACAAGAAACAAAAGTCCCGTGGCTTGATCACAAATCTGTACATTGCATGAAATTGATGCTTCGGCTTTTAAATTGCGAGCAGGCATTCTAGACGTTGCAGCAGTTTGATTTACAGTTTTGTCCAGCTGTGTGCAACTGGACGAAGATACTATGAAATGGTGGGACCTCATAAGCATTTTCATACTCTGCTTTGCATGCGCCGCCTCTTTGCATGAGCCTCCTTTTCGAGAAGGTTTGCCCTTTGCGGCGATACACTCCCACACCACCTACGTCCATTTATTCACATGTCTTTGAACCAACTGCACTCTCATGCAATTTGCTCATTACTAGCCATGGCCCTTTTGTCCTCTACCGGACTTCGCAATTCTCGCATGCGCAAATCCTACAAAGACACAACACTGATCATCACCTGCGCCTCGTAGAAACTCTGTCATCAAAGAACGATAACTGAGGCATACGCGCCCTTGGCGCCGTAATGCACCCACCGACCGGGTCCAGCCTCCCACGCGCTCCAGCCGCCTTCCCAACCGCCGCTTCAGCTTCGACCGCAAAGCCTTCCCTGCCGCCCGCAGCTGCACCTCAGGCAGCTGTAGCATCTCCATTCGGACGGTCCGTCGGGGCCGTCGCTACTGCCTCTTGGCGTCGACGGAGCCGCGGCAGCGACCGCTCTCAGCGATGCGCCCTTCGACGCGATGGCGTCGCCGCTGGCAGTGACTTCACGACCACCAGCTGGCCCCCGGCAGCGACGGCAGTAGCGGCAGTAGCGGCCCGCCACCGGCGCCCCCTGCCATCACTGGCGCGTCCCTGCCTCGCAGCAGCCCTCAAGGGGGGTTCCCTTCACAGCGCCATCCGGCGCCCTAATACCCATGGGGCAACCGCCGCCGCGGCCAGTCCGCTCTACCTGGCTGGGGTCGCCTCGCCTAGCTGGACCCATGGGTCTTTCGTTTGGTACGGAAGCTGCAGAAAGTACAATGGCGGTGCCAGCGGGGGTGGCGGCAGCCGCTTGCGGGTCGGTGGCGTCGGGAGGAGATCGACAAGCGGGTCGACGCATGCCGCGGATGACAGCGGCGGCAGCGGCGGCGGCAGCAGCAGCGATGGGAAAGCGAGTGCTGCCAGCAGGCTGCCGATGGCAGCGACCAAACGCAGTTCAGCTACAGCCGCCGAAGTCCCTGCCGACGCTGAGCAACAAGGCGGCGGAGGTGACGGCAGCGGCGGCGGTGACAGCGGCAGCGGCGGCGGCACGTACCTCCGCCGTCAGCAGCGCTTCATCGGCACATCGATGGCACCACCTCCACCTCTGCACCCACCTCCTGCAGCTGCAGATGCCAGGGGAAGCGGGGAAGCCGACGGCGATGCAGCGGATGAACCTCTTGCCTCCAAAGCGGCGGGATTGGTGGCGGCCGCGGCGGCGGTCTCCTCTTCCCCAGCAGGTTGCCGAGGCGACGGGGTTGCCGTCGCCTCGGGGCGACGGAGGCGGGAGCCTGGGCTGACGGCCCGCAGGGGTCGCAGCCGTACTGCAGCAGCGGCTGCTGCTGCCGCTGCTGCAACGGAGCAAGTCTCGACGAACACGGCTCCGGCGTCGCCGTCGGCGGCGGGATCTGAAACTGACGGCCGACAGCAGCAAACCAATAAAATTGACGTCATGGTCAACGACGTGCGTACGGCGGCGGAGGCGACGGCGGAGGCCGCGGACCCACGGTCAGGCAGGGGGGCCGACGAGGAGGGGGACCGGCCAGCAATAGAAGTATCAGCAGCAGCAGTAGCGGCGGAAGCGGAGGCGGAGGCGAGTTGCAGTCGTGCACTAACAGGTATGTGACTTTTGTGTTTGTGCGCATATAATTTTTAAATCATAATGCGTACGTAGTAGGAACGAAGGAAGGAAGGAAATATTGTATATAACACATTATTAATGTATACATGTATACATGTATGCACGTGACTAGAATGGAAGCCGTTGCAGCACAATAGCGGCGCGAAACAGTCGCAAACAATCACGCGCCGGGGAGGGGAAGGTTTCATCAGGTGCAATAAACCCCCCAGAAATGGGAGGGGGCCCCCCTCGTTGTGGCGACGGGCGGCTCCTCCTGCCTTCGTGTGATGAGGCGGTGGGTGTCCAGAATAGGCAACGTTCCCCGGGGGGGAGAATGGAGTGGCCCGTACAGGGTAAGAAACCGGCTGGTACTGCTGCTACTGCTGCTACTGCTGCAGGTTTGCGAACCATCATTGGGCGACGGAGGCAGCGACTCCGCAGCGGCAACAGCAAGAGCGGTAGCAGGATCAGTACGACAAACAGTCAGAGCAGCGACGGCAGCAGCACCAGCAGCACCAGCAGCAGAACTCAAACTCCAGAACCGGACGCTTCCGAAGACGCCGACCCGCCAACTCGATCATCAACAGATGGTGGTGACGGCGACGCCAGCGCTGGCAACGGCAATCTTGCCGTATTTCGGGGGCCGGAGGCGCTGCCGGTGTCGACGGACGGATTAGCGGAGGAGGTAGTCGCCGTACCTCCGGCGGGGCAGGTAGGAGGGCAGGCGACGTATGGCGTCGGCAGCGCTGCCGCCGCCGCTGGCGGCGGGGGCGCTAGGCGGCGGGGGCGGATGTCGGCCGCAGAACGCGAGGCTCGCCTTCAGGAGCTCTTTGGCGACGTTGACGGAGGCGATGTGCCGCCGGCAGGTGCGGGGGGGGCCGTGGCGGAATACCAAGTAGCGGCCGCCGCCGCCGCTACTGCCGCCGCTACTGCCGCCACCACAGCAGCGGTTGCAGACGCTGTGTCGGCAGCGGCAAGGACGTCGCGGGGAAGCACAACGACGCCGCCGCCGTCGGCCGACGCTTCCGGAGCAAGTAGTACGACACCGTACGGCACTGCCAACCGCTGGAACGAGCAGCTCCCGCCGGTACCACCGAGCGGTGGCGTCGGCGGGGGCGACGACGTCTTTGCCGGCATGGCGGAGCTTCTGGATTTCGGCCCCGTCTACGACAGAGCCGTACCGGAGCGTACGGACGGTGAAGCCCGCGGCGCCAGTCGACTTGGCTTCCCCCCTCACGTGGCGCTCCATGACCTTGCGATGGGTTCGGTTTGGCTTGATGACGTCAGCAGCATGGATGACGTCAGCAGCATTGACGACGAAGGTATAACTTCGGGTTCCTCTTTTCCCGGTGTCTCCTCCTCCCGCATGTGGTCAAGTGCCCCCTCCTCCTCAACGACCATTCCAGATTCCATTACCCCTGCAAACCCCCGCTTTGTCGTGCGCTCGTAAAGGAGTTGAAAAACGAACAAGTTGTTTGGATGTTAGTGTCGCCGTCTTTGGAAAGAGAGTAAAAATAAGTGTTTTATTCCGAAGATATTTTCCGAAGATATTTTCCAAGGGATCACCGACTTGATCGTTTTTCCTCCTCCCCTTTCTCCCATCCCCCCGTTGATGTTCTGTTCTCCCTGATGCTCCTTCGGTCCAGTCAGGCGCTCACCGCAACATGACACGCGCTGCTTTGCGCGCCACAGCGGGCGCCAGCAGCGGCAGCAGCAGCAGCCCTAGCGGCAACGGTACGACACCGGCGCCGCCGGCGCCAGATGCTGCCGACCGGCAGGAGCGGCGGATGGCGACGGAGCCGGCGGCGGTTGTCATGGATGGCGGCATCGACGACATCCTGGCGTTTGTGGGGAACAGCAGCGTCAGTTGGAGTGAAGGCGACGGCGGCGGTGACCTCAGCGGCGGCGACGGCGCGGCCGCCGCTGCCGCCGCCGCGCCGGCGACGGTCATCCCCGCCGGCGACGGCGCAGCGCCGATCTCGTACGATATGAGTGAGGACGAGCTGTTTGGGTTTGACTTTAACTACGTTGCGCCGGTATCTGCGCCGCTGCCGTGGCAGCTACTGCCGCCGCCGCCGCCGCCGCGGCAGCAGCAGCCGCCGCCGCCGCGGCCACAACCCCAGTCGTCGTCACGAAGTTCCGGGCAACGGCATCAGGGTCCCCGATACGGCTTCGGCGGAGCTGGCGATAACGCCGCCGCCGCCGCCGCCACCGCCGCTGCGGAAGCCGCGGCGGCGGCAGCCTCATCGCCGTCGACGACAGGATGGAGTCTTGCGGAACCGGCTGTAGCCATGAAACCGTCGTCGCAAGCTTCAGGGCTGCCCTCAGCCTCACCGTTATCCCACCTCGGCAGTAGCAGCAATAGCAGCAGTAGCAGTAGCCGGCAGGTAGAGCTCAGTCGCTCCAGGGACGGATCGTGGGGTGAAGGAAACCCGCTCCGGGATGAAAAGGCGGAGGAAAAGGGGGACGGGGGAGACAGGGAAGCTGCGCTGGCGGCGGCAGCGGCTGCGGAGGCGCCAGCGCCAGCGGCACCAGTGCCAGCGGCGGCACCGGCGCCAGCGGCGGCGGCGGGGAACCAGGTCCGTTTCCGCAAGTTGATCCGTAAGTCGCCTTCGCCCACCGATGCTCCCGACGATGGCG